CTACCGCGCTTTAATAATAGTAATTACATGTACAAACATTCTATAACAGGTTCTGACGTATTTAAAGGAGTCGTCACTCGCGCATGCGTCAGATGGCCATAGCGTGTCATTGTTTACAAACAAGCGTCTACCCATAAGATTTTGCGATTTTAGCGTGTGTTGTTATCGTCGCCTGGGACTCAATTTCCGCGCGTGCGCAGGTGACGACCCTCCCGCTTTAAAGCGGATGCTTGGATGTATTCATGCTATTGAAGTTTCATATTCAACATCACATTTACTGTTATCGTAAGATGTCAATTTAAGGTCAATTTGTATAAAATATATATTCAAGAATTAACTTCAAATAAAAAAATGCCTCGTTTTATATAACAGTTTGAAGTATATGTGATGTTTTTTGATATATAATTCAATGTCAATGGTGTTGCAAGGTTTAAATTAACTGAGTACAAGATAGACAGCTTAGTAATTTATGCACGAATGAATAAAATGGTGGATTTGATGACGTACCCGAACTTCACGTCATACTGTAAGCTGAGCACTATTACAATACGCCCGTTCTATGCCGCTAGTTGGTCCACACATAACAATAAATTAGCTGTCTTAAATAAGTCCTTGAATAAATTAGCTGTCATAAATAGGGCCGTGAATAAATTAGCGACACAATTAGCATTTTCTTCAAGTTATCACTCAATCGAGCTGAAATTGCTTAGTTTTGTCACTTTTTGGGTTATAGTCTTTTTGGGTTATAGTCACTTTTTCTCAGAATAACAGTTCCTGTAGATTTTTACAATTTCGAGGTATAATCAAAGCAATTATTGCTTGATCACTGCTAAATTTATGAATTCATTCGAGAAATGTGTATATGTGGATATAATGTACATTCTTTGCGGTTGTGAAAAAAATATCTACTGCTACAATTGATGAGACCAAGGCATTGAGTGTGTGCAAATACGCAAATTTAGATATACAATTCAAGAACCAACTGAATGCTGAGCAACACCGTGTTGCTGCCATTATTATTCATGTTCACACTGCAGTCCAATCACTTTACACCAACCTACAAATTTCAACCCAACTCCCCCAAATACCGCTCGATGCATATCCAGCTTCTCCTTGTCCCGAAGGCGACATTAAAATTAAACATTTGCCTGTTCATACCAGTGTTATTGCTAGTGTAGCTGCCACCCTGACCTCTATCCGATACGATTTAATAGTCACACCCTTCGTATCTGAAAGATAACTCTACGTATATCCACAGTCTAGAGGGAGTTGCGTTGATCTGGTAAACTAACGGACAATGCCCCCTCCCATACACAAGCCTATGAACACAGGACTAAACTGAAAAGTCAGTGTCGGATCCAGAGGAGGGCCAAAACGCATGACGATTCATATAATCTGGATTACGCATAGCTTCTCTGCGATTTTCGCTCCGTAATGTTAAGCGAAGTTCCCCCCCCCCCCTTCAATACATTTTGCTGGATCCGCCACTGGAAAAAAGTTACTGACTATACACGCACTCTTGCAACTATACATGGTATTTCCCTATCCTCTATACATTTAGATCCTAGAGGTACGTCATGAAACTCGCCACCAGAGGGCGACGTAGTGCGGCTAAAAACACACACTGGTTTCTCGATATCGATCAATTGGGTGCACATTCTGACACACACAACGAATATGTTAGATCTATCTAGTCTCTCCCAAAGTCTTCCTACCTTTGATGTTATGTTCTTCACATTCCCAATCCTTATAAACACCGGCGTTTTCTTACTCGAAATAGTACCAGGCATGCTATAAACACGCCAAATTGGCGGTATGTTTGTAAATATACTATATGAGACAGGAAACATGGACCTACGTCACCCTTAAAAGAATTTCCACATATTCCCACAAATATTAATCCTGCACAACCGTGCCTACATACACACATATTAATCCTGCACAACCGTGCCTACACACACACATATTAATCCTGCACAACCGTGCTTACACACACAAATATTTGTCC